ACCCAAGTGGGAGACCTGGTGGAAGCTCCTGGCTCCTGGCTTCGGATCGGCACAGCTCTGGCTGTTGCGGCTTCCTGGGGAGTGAACCAGCAGATGGAAGACCTCTCTCTCTCTCACTGCCTCTCCTCTCTCTGTGTAACTCTTTCAAATAAATAAATAAATCTTTTAAAATAAAATATACAACCATTTAAATATCCATGTTTTGGGGCTAAGATCATCTCACATGCGACCAGCAGTACCTGCCCACAGCTTCAGGAAATACTGCTCTAAATTATTTTGTAGAATTCTAGTGTGTCGTGTTTTTTGTGGGGGGAGGCAGTGGCTCAGTGGTTAGAGGCCCACATTCTACACTGGAGTGCCTGGTTGACACCCTGGCGTGTCCGCTTTTGACTCAGCTTCTTGCTAATATGTACCCTGAGAGGCAACAGGTGGTAGCTCAAGTACTTGGGTCCTATCCACCCATGTGGGAGATCCAGATTGAGTTTTGTGCTCCTGGCTTTGACCTGCCCCAGCCCTGATTATTGCAGACATTGGGGGAATAAATGAACCAGTGGATAAGACAGCGCTCTCTCTCTCTCTCTCTCTCTCTCTCTCTCTCTCTCCCTCATCTCTGTTTCGCTCTATCTCCCTTTCAAATATAATGGAAATTAACATTTAAAAACTCTTGTGTTTCTTCCAAATCTAAAAAGCATGCCAATCTGTAACATTCTTTCTCTACAGTTCCACAAGCAATGGAATAAACTATACCACCTGGATTGGTGCTTGGAGGAATTAAAATTCAGGCTTTGTTCTGCCCTGTTAGAACCAATGACCATTTCCCATCAAGGCAACCCTTCACAACTCATTATGGGAGCATGGGGGAAAGAAACTAAATATGATCTCAGTGTTTTCTCCATTTCTTCAATGGTGCCCCCAACTTCCACGAATATTTCTGATTTTTTCAAAATGGTTCCAACACAGAAAGCTTTAAAGAAATGCTAACCCTATATTACTGTTTAAGAACTCTGCTTTGAACACAAGCCAGAAGTCAGACCCATGTCTATAGAGCAGGCTTTTGCTAATCACTTCTTTGCTGTGGTTGACTGGAAATTGTCCTCAAAACCAAACTACCGTGGGGATTCCTTAAGTCAGAGAAGAAGTTAATCGTTTAAAAATAAAACTTCCCATCTCAAGCCCCTTACCCCCACTAGGTAAGTTTCATGAAAAGTGCTTAGTCTCTAGTTCTGCCAAGCGTTTACTTGGGCCTTTCAGCCCATGAGTTAAATACCCTGACGTGGCTCTGGGCTGACCTACCCTGACACGTAACAGTAGGGTCCATCTGTCTACTTTGTGCACTGTGACAGCATAGCTCCGAAATTGCATCTGAAGTATCACTGATGAGACTCTACCCACTCATTCATTCATCCATTCAATTTTTTGACATACAACTACTAAACATATATTGAATGCAATAACACAAGGTATTTGCATCGGGGGATTTGAAGACGCATTGGTCCTGAATATGAACTCCTCACCAGGGAGACACCTCATGTCCAGACTTCTGCAGACGTTTTTCAGTCCAGGGATAATGCCAGGGGACATTCAGTCCCCCTTTAATTTGCTGGAAATTTACCTCAGGATACTTGAGCATGATGCTTAAGTAAGAATTCTTTTAAAAAAAATTCCTAATGAGAGAGGTTTTCAAAGACTGATAGGAATTCAATTGCAACCTTAATAGGAGGTTCAAATAAATGCTATTATTAAAAAAAAAAAATGGAAGCAGATAAGGAAAGTAACAAGATAACCTCCATTTTCTAAACATCTGATCCCACTCCCTGAGCAGCTCGGACCCATCAGCTGCATCCAGAGTACCTGGCATTCAGGTAAGAACCACAGGCAGATAGATCTCATCAAACCTTTGGCTACAAACTAGGTCTCTGTTAGCAGGGCCCTTTCCTCTGCTTTGTCACATACAAGTATATCTCTATATCTCAATGGGACTTTAGCAGAAGGGGGCCTTTGCAAAGAACTCACAACACACATGTGTGGTGCTCTACACTCCATCTAGGAGTGACGCTCCCTATGCTCCTTCTCATAACCAGACCAGAGAATCTGGACAATCAGATGCAACCAACAAACCCAAGCTAGCATGGCTGCAACAAATTAGCGAGTTCACCACCAGAGGGCACCAATGCACACGGACACGATGCAGAAAACTGAAGTGAGCAGAGGGGTTAGCAATGCCCAAGGCTCACACAGTATACAATATATCTAGGCTCAGAACCCTGGCCTGGACTCCCAGCTAGAGCTCCTCCACTTGCCTCCAGGACTCAGGAAAAGGACATCATCGATGGTTTATCTGTTTTTATTTTACAACTGAAGAAGCTGCCTAGTCAGAGCTCAACATCTACTCCCAGGGAGCATGGGATCTCCCAGCAATTCCAGGAGCTCTAACCTTTTGGCCTTAACCCAGCATAGGAAATACATTTCGCACTGCAGCCACATATAGTGTAATTTTTATCATACACAAAACTAAAATGCATTTTCACAAAGCAATACCCTTGTTACTCAATTATATGCCATTTTTCCTTTTCTATCCACTACCTTGATTCCACAACCCACTAATTAGTCTCCAGTCCTATTTTAAGGGTGGCCTGAAGAGTGGCCCTCCAAGGAAAGTAGAATGCTCCAGTCTACTGCTCTGTCATACCTGTAGATCCTGGTTTTGGAAGAGTTTAGGGAGGGTATTAGGAAGCTGAGCTTCTTCAGTATAAGACAGACAATGACCCAGAGAAACCCTTACTTAACCATTTGGTTTCATCTTGTCCGTGCCCTTTCTCCACTCATTCTCTCAGCAAGCACAAACTCACTCCTAAGAACTGAGCCTTGTGTTTAGGTGGCCCCCACCAGGAAGTAACCTCTGTCTTCAGACCTTCTCTGAGCAGCCTGTGGTTCCCAGGACCAGTGTGGGTCTTGATCCAGAAGCACTATGTGAAGGAAACGATGAGAAGGAAGGGGAGCAGTCTGAGACCAGAGGGCCAGATAAGCCTCACAGCTCTGGCGCTTTCTCAGGGGAATTTTTGACCACAGGCCAGCAACTCAGAGCCTGGGCCCAGATGCAGAGTCCCCCTGACCCACCCCCTCCTGCAGGCACCCCAGGCACCTCCCAACTCCGGCCGCAGCTTCCACCCCTGGGGCACAGCTAATAGATCTGCCCAGGACGTCTTTCCTGAGACACTGCCAAGTATTTCACTTGCTCAATTTCATCCCCTTTCTCTCAGCATGTTACTTTATGAAGAAACTCAAAGGAGGAGACATCTATCACTGATCAACCTCAAATGATCTTACAGTCCAGCTTAAACCTAAGGGCAAGTTGCTAAATCTAATTCCCGGAAGTCTGGGGTGAATTCCTGGTACAGTCCCACAATTGCACCGAGAGCCTCTACTTCAATTCTAGTATTTGTCTCTGGTGGTGGGTAGGGAGGGGAAAGGAGTAACAATACAGGAAAAATGTCCAAGCCCTGAGACCTTGAGCTAGGGATCTGCCCTAAGGATGCTGGCTCAGCCCCACAACTCAGCACCAGTCTCTGATCTCCTATTGGCAATCGTAGCCTCAAAGAAAAATGACTCCACAAGAGAGCTGAACCAGTTCCTTGCAAATGATATTTATTGGGTGTCTACAGGATGCAAAGCAGTGAACTCGGCATTAAAGGAAAAGCAGATGAGATGCCCAGACCCTGCCTTCTAGTTCTTCCAGTCTACCAGAGGAGTTAAGACAAGTATTGGCTTGAGTAACATCCCTGGGCGAAGCCGTTCCTGCCTCTCCCAGGGCACTGAATTCTTTTTCAACCATGCTCCCTCCCTGAGCCCACCCTTCACTTGCCACCTAAGATTGCATTTGTTGGCTTACCTGGCTGCTATTCTAACAAAACGTCACTTCCTGGTTAGCAGGTTGCAGAGATGCTGTCCTGCTTCTAGCTTTGAAATCGGAGGACGGGGCCAGGAGCCAAGGAATGAGAGCAGTCTGGAGAAAGTGGGAAGAGCCAGGGAATGGATTCATCCCTGGAGCTTCCGGAAAGGAACACAGCCAACACCTTCCTTTGAGCCCAGTGAAGCCCATGTCAATCTTCCTCAGAATTGTAAGATAATAAATCTGTGTTGCTCTAAGCCACCTAGTCGTGGTGATTTAGCACAGCAGTGATGGGAAGCTGAGACACATGTTGGCCACTTCCTCGGGGGCAAGTCCTCTCGAATCTTTGCTTCAGCAGTGAGAGGAAACATCAGTAGGCGAAACGAAGGTGACCCTCCCTTGTAAAGTCAGTTCCACAGGGAGAATCATTTGGGGCAGGCTTTAGAAGTTGGTTCTTTGAAAGACAAGGGAAGTGCCTGCCCAGTTGGAGTGCAACCTTGAGGTTGGGGGAGGGGAGGGGTCTCTCTCTGACCTGCACAACCACCATCCCCACCCCTACATAAGACCCAGGAAGCAGCAGGGCCTGTTGTGGGCGCCCATGGAGCTGTGGGCCCGGAGCCTACCCGCCAGCTCCCAGGGGCAGCCTGGCAGAGCCGGGGTGCAACACGGCCCAGTCAGGAGCCACAGCCCAACACCGTTCACGTCTAAGGGCCTGGGCTGTCCCACACAGTCGCCTGCATCGTGAAGTTCTTGTTATCCAACGAGACACATTCAACGCTCGATGCTTGCAGAACCCAATCTGTGGCACTGGTCTCTTAAGAAAGGCTTTCGATATGTGGCCAGCCAGCATGGCGGCGAGAAAAACCCCAATCCGACTCCCGCTCCGGCCCCCATCCTGGGGACCTAGGGAAAACGGGTACGTGGCCACACGCAGAAGGGAATTTCTGAAGGGTGGAGCCACGGCAGGGCCCAGGAAGCTCAGTCAGCGGACGACGTAATCTCCGTGCCTCCTGCTTCCTAAAGCTGTCCCGCTCGTCTGCCTCCGCTCATCCTCCAATCTTTGGTAGGTGCGCAACGTTGGTTCCGCGAGTCCGCGCGAGTTCAGCGTGTCCCCCTTCTTACGCATGCGCAACTCAGCTGCTCCGTCTGCAGTCGGAAAGCGGTTTTTACCTGGTAGGTGGTGAAGGCTATAAAAATTGGTAAAGAAATAGTGATTTGGTAAAGCCTTTTACGGCTGAAACCTATTGCAGAATAAGTGGGGAAGTTTTCTAGGAATGCAAGGCAAAGCAAAGAGGGGGCTTTTGAGTTTCAGGGGTGTCTTGAGAAGATCCAGGGGCACCAAGTTCGCTTCACTGAGGTTCTGGGAGGACGTAGAGAGGCGGCAAGGGCACTGAACTCAGCTACAGTGCAAGGGGACCCTCTCTTAGAACCAGTCACGGTATAGAAAAATAAAGAATTATGACTTTTATTGCATATGGAAAAACGCACACCTAATACAGAAACTCTCCAGTCTCCACAGGTGAGCCGCCCTGGGCTGAGAAAAGCCAGGCAGAGACCAGGAGTGACACAAAGGCAGGGACATCGCCCTTCTTTAGGATCCAGGACGTGCAAAGACACTGCCCACGCCCTCCACACACACACCCCAGGCCTTTCTCCAAAGGCAAACCCAGAATGCGCTGTCAGTCCTATCCAAGGACTCAGGGAATGAATAATGTGACGAGGGGTGAACAGCTGAGGTCTGACTGAGCCCTCATCCCATTTAACTTCAGTCCTTCTGAGATCTGTGCCCTCTCCAGACTTGTAAGTAACATCAGGGCACCAGGGAGGACCCGTGGCCCTTGGTCACTAGCCCTTGCTGGCTGTGCCAGGACACCTATTATTCCTGTCCACTCTGCTGCTCTGATGGCATTCCCATCCCCAGGGACCCGGGCCCTAGTGCCACCTCCACTAAATGCTGACTTGGGAGGAGGTACCCAGGAAGTGTGTGAAGACTACTGCTGTTCACAGAACCCTCCTGCCCCACACCCTCCCTGGACATCACTCTTTAGTGATGGGGGAGCAGCTGATGGGGCCCTCTTTACTCATGCTACTCTAGAATCAATCGATCAATATTATCTGTCTATCACCTATGTATCCGTGTCTCTCTCCCCTCTCTCCTGCCCTCTGTTTCTCTGTCTTCAAACATTATCTAGCATGATCTCAATGGCTTCTAACATGGACCTAACGTGCAGGAGGGAATGTGTGTCAGAGGCAACCTGTGCTTTTAGCCTCACCACAAATCTCCCTTGCATCAAAGAAGCCCAGCGTCTTCTAACTGTTTTAAAGTGGATGGAAATCTGGGAAAATCAAGGAGGGGTAAATGAGTGAAAAAGTTACAATAAAAAAAAAAAAATAGCCATCACTTCCGCATCCACTCTGATGTACGGTCACTCAGTGCTCGCTCCATGACCACGTTCAGGCACTGGGACACTGTGTGAGCACCAGGCCAGGGGCTGGAAGCAGATCACACTCATAAATGAAGAAATAAGAGAAGACCCTCCAGTGCAGATAGGCATAGAATTGACATAGCACCTGCTGATGGGTGATCCCAACAGTCCCAGTGACGTTTAAACTGATACTGAAAGACAAGGACATGCAGACAGATCATGTACTAAGAAGTTTCATGCATTATCCTGTTTGCTCCTCACAGCCCACCTACAGAAACTACATCATTAGCTCCATTTACAGAGGAGGAAACTGAGCTCCCTTGCCTAAGGTAACACAGCCAACCACAAAAACGCAAGGACCAAACCTAAGGTCTGTCTGGCTCCACAACCACAGTTGCTTCTCCTATACAGAAAGGGTGTGGGCCTCTAGTTGCATCCCTCGGGGAATTTTCTCAAATGTTTCAGCCTGAAATTTCTTTCTCTCTAGGGGTTGATGTTGCAATCTTTGCTCCGTGGGAGGAGGACCCCATGCTCACAGCTGTCCCCCATGTAAGAGGATAGAGGTGTCCAGAAGCCCTCATCCCTGCCTGGCCCAGCCTCACCGTGGCTCTGTCCTGCCTTTGCCATGAGAGTATCAGCCCCTGCCTGCTGCCTCCCCCAGGGGCTGCAGCCTCCCTCTGCAGCTCTGCCTTGTGGGCTGGTGGGGTGGGAGCGAGCTCACTAGGCCAGATGGGCTGAGTGGAGCCCAAAGTGGCAGGCTGGTGGTATTCAAGCCTATTTTTATCCAGAAAAAAATCTGTTCTGTATTTTACTCCACTTTGGGGCAAGGAGAGGTCAAGGCTCCTCACCTTCGCTGTAAGATGAGAACGCGGCAGGAAATGAAGTGACAGGGAAGACAACCGGGGAGAGGGAGAGGGGGCAAATTACTGGGAAATTAAAAACCTGTGTTCAGATTAGAGTGGAGGGTGTCAAACTCCCCTTCCTTCCACGGAGCCCGTCTCTCCGAGGCTGTGGGCATGTGGACAGGAGCGGTTCTGTCATACTTGGCAAACCACACACGAGGGCCAGCAATTTGGGCGCTGGTGGTCCAGCACTCACAACAACCCATCCAGGCCTGCCAGAGGAGGTCCCAGCATGGACAGCTGCCCAATCAGCTCTGTCCTCTGAGTCACTGGAAGGGACTTCCCCCAGGGAGCAGAACCAACAGCCAGGTGAGTTGGAGTGTCACTGCCCCCACCCCACCCCATAGTGTCCCTGTCATGTGGTTACTGATTCTTCTATGCACGCACAGCCCAGAGCTCTTGTGTGTTCAAATCAGACACATGCACAACTAGTTGCAGACTCAGGAAAAGCAGCTCTCTGTTCACCCTCGCTGAGGCATGACTCAGTTCACCTCCTGTACATCCTGCAAGGTCCATCTCCTGCATAGGATCCTCCTAGGACCACAAGAAACTATAGTCGCGATGACGGTTGTCCCAGATACCAGGCAGGCATCATCAGGTCCTCCATATGCCTGTTGATTTGGTGATGCAGAGACAGTTTCCACTCCAGCCAGCAAATAACACGGGGTACCCCTTAAGTGCCAGGCACCATGCTAGATGTGGGACAGAGGATAAGTTTCTGCCCCAGAGACCCTACAGTGTGGTGGGGGATAAACCTGCGTGACTCGCCCAGGAGAAGGCAGGGAGAGAAACACTGAATGGACTCTCGCACAGCCCCAGGTGTGACAAGGACTCATTTCAGCCAAATGGATCAGGGTGATATATGGGACAGAGGGACTTCTGAGTAAAACCTTAAAGGGCAGGCACAACTGTATTTCACTTTATGTTGATTTTGTTTGTTTTTTTTGAAGAAAGAACTATAGAGCAGCACCTGGTATCCCAGGAGGAAGGGGCGTGAGTGCAGGGAGCACCGTAAGCCCCAGGACATGCTGGGGAGTAGTCAGGAGCCTTGGAGTTACAGTGGCTCTGCCGTTGCGGCGCAGTGCAGACTGGCAGCGTAAGCAGCAGAAATTTGGTTTTTTACAGTTTTGAAGCCTAGAAGTCCAAGACCAAGGTGCTGGAAGTTCCTTCTGGGGCCTCCCTCCTTGGCTTGCAGATGGCTTTCCCTCTGTGTGCACGGACCTCTGATGTCTCTGTGTCCTAATCTTCTAAGGACATCAGTCAGGCTAAATTACAGCCACCCTAACAGCCTCATCTTAACTTAATCTCCTCTTTGAATGCCCTACCTCCAAATATAGTCAGGATCCGAGGTCCTGGAGGTTGAGACTGCAACAGAGACATCTGAGGGCACACGATACAATCCCTAGCACAGGACCTGCCCAAGGAAGCAGACTCCACAGATATGAGGAGGAGGAGTAAGGGGTGGTGAGACAGGGAGAATCTACTGAGTACAAAACTACTGTGCTTGGGGCCAGCGCTGTGGCACAGTGGGTTAACGCCCTGGCCTGAAGCGCCAGCATCCCATATGGGCGCCAGTTCTAGTCCCTGCTGTGCCTCTTCCAATCCAGCTCTCTGCTATGGCCTGGGATAGCAGTAGAAGATGGCCCAAGTCCTTGGGCCCCTGCACCTGCACAGGAGACCTGGAGGAAGCTCCTGGCTCCTGGCTTCGGATCGGTGCAGCTTCGGCCATTGCGGCCACCTGGGCCATCTGTTCCAACCAGTGGATGGAAGACCTCTCTCTCTGTCTCTACCTCTCTCTGTAACTCTGCCTATCAAATAAAATAAATATAAAAAAAAAACTAATGTGCTGGACACTCATGCTGTAGGTTAGTGTTACCAGTCTATGCTCCCTACTCTGCGAGCAGCTAACAGCTATCACGTGAATAGAAAATAGGAGACTGGCATTCCCTGCTTAAGCCTGGGAAGCCAGTTTCTACCTGCAGACTTCTCAGAGCCCTTAAGCATGCTACCACGTGATGTGCGTCCTCAAAAGAGAAGCAGAGCCGCTCCACTGAAGCCAACGTTTAAGGAACATCTCATGTGACAAATGTCCTACAGAACATCCAGCAAAATTTTTTGAACAGAAGAGCAATCTTTAAAACTCTTGCCCTGGAGTTGCAAAGTCTTGAGGCCAATGGACTGCTGGAGCAGACATGGCCTCCAGAGGCAGACAGCCTGATGAGCACTGACAGCTGGCTGGAATCCAGCCCTCTGCTGGAGTCACCAGCCCTTTTCCATTCAAGATGTCCAAAGTCCCCCGCCCCCACTGCCTGTCCAGAGTCCCAACCACCCTTGCATCCCCAGTGAAAAAGCCACTCAGAGCAGGAGCCCTGCAGAAGAGGGGCTGGGGGGGTGGGCACAGAGGCCTGAGTGGGGGCTGTGTGTGGGAGGGGAGGGGAGAGTCCTGGGGCAGCTGGCACCTGGCTATTAATTAGTAAAAGGCCAAGAGGGTTGCAGAGCTGTGGCCTCTAGGAGTGGATCCCCAAAGCTGATTGTGAATCCCGGGTGCAGGTGAGCCCTTTTATACACAGGACTTAATCATTAAAGTAAACAGAAAGTGAAAAGGCCGTGCCTCTCCTGGTGTGCTTTTTATGTCACTTCAACATGTCTCTGTGTCACAATGGTCCCACCAAAATGTCACATGGCCAGCATGGCCAAGGGAAATCTTCTTGCCCTGTCCAAACACACGCATGCCTGCTCAGGCTGGTCTGGCCTGGGCGGAGGAAGGCCCCTCCCCTCTCCCGTTACCAGGCTTTCCTGTCTTGCCTGGCTGTTTGGGCCATTCCTGAGCAGACTCCCAGATCCCAGGAACTGCCTAACACTTCATGCCCAGGCACCTTGCCTGCTCGGCGGGTCACTGACATCTGCTGAGGTTCCCCTGCGAAGCCCCAAACAGCGGAGATTTACAAAGCTTTTCCTTCCTGGTGGGCCCCATCTTCTCTCTGGGCTTGGGGGGAAAATGGCAACAACAGTGACTCGACGCCCTGGGGGTCCCCGATCCTGAGTTTTCATCCTGGCTGCAGCCAAGGAGCAGCCTCCTGGGCCTTTGGTTTCCTCATCGGTAAAATAAACTCCAAGATGCCTTCCGGTCCCCAAATTCTATAATCCTGTACTGTTGTCACTGGGTGTGTGTAATGTTTATTTTGGGGGAAAGGGGATTATTTTTGTAGGCCTTGAAAGTTGTAATCTCAGACTAATAGTAATTTGGTATGATGTCACATTAACTCAAGGCTAAGTGTATAGCTTTAGCATGCTTTTTATGAGAAAAAAAATGAATGATTTGGGAAAATTCCCTTCCCTCAGAATGTGTGTCTTCTTTCTCAGTTATATAACTAAAATGGAATCATGCCCATTTCTTCCCAAACCATGGTAATAGGTTAGAGGACCTCCTTTTAGCTCCCCTCAGAATGCAGAGGCCCTCGGTCTTAGCAGAAAGCTCAGGGCTGGGAGAAGCAGGTGGTGAAACAGGAGGCGAATGGGCCTGTGTTTCAGAGAGCTGGCATCTCTCTAGGGTGATCACGGCTTGGGGCTCTGGGAAAGTTTGGCTACTGAGGAGTCCTCACCTTTGGGTGTCCCGCTGCTCTCTGGGTTCACTGGAGACAGTGACAGCTGACTGTTTAACCCTTCAGGCAGCACCGCAACTCCCTTTCAGCTTTGAGGTCTGGTAGATGCTGGGGTGAAGGGTGGAGGAGGATGCCAGAACCAGGAGAGCCAGAGCTACCTGGTGACACCAGCAAACATGAGCTACACTGCAGCATTTTTGGAAAACAGTAGGTAGGGAATAGAGTGTGGGGTTAAGGTGGTTCATAAACTTAAAAATTGCTGCTTCTGGGGACCTGCATGTGTTTTAGGGTTTAATGTTGAGAGAATGATGCTGAGAAGCAGAGAAGGGGACAGACTTTTGAGGAGCACCTCTGAATCCTGGGGAAGGCAGCATCACATGTGGCCTTTGTCCTAATTGTGGGCTGTTCAACAAAGGTTGCTGGGCTCCCGTGGGGCATAATTGGACCTCCAAGGAGGGCAGATCTTGCTAGTGCGTGCAGGCCAGTGGCTCTTGGAGGTCAATGAACTCTGTGCAGGCCTCTTCTGATGTGAGGCCAGGAAATCAGCCAGTGCCCCTTTTGCTTCTCTCGGCAGCTGGCACCACAATAAGTCCCAGGAACAAACCTGAAACCTAATTGTGAGTTTCTAGGTCACAAGAGGACATGGATTAATCAGACTATTTACAAAGCCCTGTCAACACATGCCCGAGGGAGCAGGCCAGCCGATGCCAGTGACATTTTGTGGATTTCTTGTAGGATGTTTTATCCATCCTTTTCTTATTAAACACTCAAATCCTCTCCATGTCCTCTAAAACAGGATTCTGTCGTCTGCTCACCCGCTGAGGACCAGTAATCCAAGACACATGCCTAGAGCCACAAAGGGCTGGATATCCCCAGGGCCTGGTTCCACACCATGTACAAGACACAGACACACCAGGCATGCGTCATGCAGATGCCACAAACTTGCACAGCCAGCAGGCTCCCCCAGGACCCAGCCCAGAAGTCTTAAGCTCTCCCTGCAGAGCTGGCTCACCCTGGCCTCAGCACAAAAGATCTGGTGCCACTCCATCTTTGGTCTGGAGAAACTGAGGCCTAGATGGAAGAAACCATTAGACCAAGGTCACAGAATCGTGTTAGGGGCTCTTCCAGGATTAAGGGGTTACTCAACAGTCTGGGCCTTGCCTAGACTCTAATACTCCAGTTTACCAATACTCCGCTATTCCCCAGTGCTTTCCTCACATCTTGCAGAGAGTTCAACAAAGCCACATTCTAAAGGCACCGTTCTTGCTCCCTGTTCAGCCATCTGGTTCTGAGATTTAGCAACGCTGAGCAGAAGTAGGCCTATGGTAGCTTCTGGAAGCCAGTTATTAAATATGAGTATTCAGCA